AAATTCAGCTGGTAACATAGCAAAATAACTTTATTTTACTTCCATAAGTTAACGAATACAGATGTCAGAAATATCTTTAGTCTTATATTCAAAAAATGGAGGCCAGAAATTAAATCAGCATATCAAAATAAGAAAATATGTTCCTAGTTTATGAATTGGGTCTTTTAAATACTCTCCAGTTCATAAAATACGATTTTAGAAATTTTGCACTAGATAATTATACTTCCTGATTTTGTAATTAGTGGAACTACACGTAATTACATAATAATTATGATGGTAATTACATAATTAAGATGTATAATTATGTAGTAAAAAACATTATGGAAATAAAATAAATCAACTGTATAACCACAATACATCTACAAAAAAAATCTTTCATATTGCTTAAAAACTGTATTTTCCCCACAAAATAAATAAATAAACAAACAATAAATAAATAAATAACAGCGATTAGTCTAGTGTATCAATTACTTACTGACAATTAAACAAAAATCCTATAGATATTAAGATGGTGAATTATCATCTTAAGACGTAATTATACTAATTTAGTCATCATCAAACATGTATTTTATCCTAAATCACAATAAATCAACAAAAATTCCTCTTGAGACATTTGAAACTAGCTAGAAAAATTTTAAATTGATGTTTCAGCGCTGCAAATTTTGCTATTTCTTGTTATTTGTTCAAAACACTTCAGATAATACATAGTGGATGCCTTAAAACTTGAATTATCTTTAAACTATATTTAAGGCTTTTTCTATACTATAAACATTAAATGAGTTAATTTATAGAAATGTCCACTTTTTAATATTGTCCTTTATTCTTTTTGGAACATGGTTGCAACATGCAATTTGTATTTTTTCTGTCAACTGCTAGCAGAGACATATTAAAGATCCTCATTAGTATCACTGAAAAATACCACCATGATGAATGCTCTCCTTGTACATCTTTCTATCAATTCATCCATAAAAAAACCCACTTTGCATTGATATTTTGCACACCAAGTCATAAGCACAAGAGAAAAAAAATAAATAAATCACAGGATATAAGCAAATATTCCAAGTTAGACTTTGCATTTCCTTGGAGGTCATACAGCTTAACCATTTCATTTTTCTAAATACAATTTTACAGTCTGTTCATCCAGAAAGTTAATTGAGCATGTTTAGTATATAAATTTGTAAAAGTATTTGCTAAGCATGGATTCATTTTTTTAAAAAAATGCACAGTATAAAAAATAATATCTCAAAGATCTTAAGAAGTTAAAATATACAATACTTTTAATATCCAACCTTCTTCAATCAGTGAGTGATTTAATATAATCTAACCTTTTATTTTAATTTTAATAATTGGTCTGATATTTCTGATACTAGTAATAGAAGTCCTTAGAATTAAGATGTTCTATTGCTAGGTTAGGAAAATATTATGCAAAAGAACATAAAATAAAATATTCCAAAATTATTTCACATCTATTCTTCATGCTATTAAACCTTGAAAAGTTGCAGAGCTTCAGTCTATGTCTCATAGAGGAAATATCTACAGCCAGCAATTTTTTTGCAGCCTTTCAAGTAGCGCCTTAAAAACTAAGCAAAATATATACTATAGCTCCCCAAATGTTTAAACCAGTTTCATTTGTAAGTTTCATTGTCCCTAGGCTGTAAATTGGATTCCCTCAACTTGGACACAAATGCTACAGTCTTCTATTGCTTTTACAATAGCTGTAATCATTCTGATTCATATTTTATTTTCTGAAATTATAATAAATATTGAATAAATATTGAAAAAAACCTGCTCAAATCTCTTGTCTATCGTCCTAATAATGGAAATTTAAGTAAGGAGTAAGTGAAAAAGTTGAAAATTCAGAGGTATGACAAGGAATGGAAAACTTATAGTTTTATATATACAGGAGCACAGGTATACAGATAGTTGACTTACTATGGCAATTGGGACCAGAATTTCTGCCATTAAGCAATGGGGTCATAAAGCATAACTACATCACTTAGCAATAGCAAATCCCTGCAGTCTTAGTTGCCACTGAACTGAACTGAATCCCATTGTTATTAGGTGAAGCAACTTCCTGCTGGCTTCCCTACAACCATGATAAAACTGGCCAGAAGTTGGAAATCCTAGGCTTGCAAACAGGCCACTGGTACAAGGGTATGTGAGGAAGTTGTGGTAGGGCTCAAGGAGTGTGTGAAGAAGACTTGGGGAGGGTGTGCACGGTGCACAAATGGTGAGGGAAGTGCCATGATACCTTGGGAGGGTGCATGGAGGTGCACAAGTGGCCTGCACAGAATGAGGGCGGGGGAATGATACACAGGTGGGAGATAATTATTCCAATGATTTGTAACTTTCCCAATTGGCATCTCTATGAGCCGAGGTGGCACAGTGGTTAAATGCAGCACTGCAGGCTACTTCAGCTGACTGCAGTTCTGCAGTTCGGCTGTTCAAATCTCACCGTCTCAGGGTTGACTCAGCCTTCCATCCTTCCGAGGTGGGTAAAATGAGGACCCGGATTGTTGTTGGGGGCAATATGCTGACCCTGTAAACCGCTTAGAGAGGGCTGAAAGCCCTATGAAGCGGTATATAAGTCTAACTGCTATTGCTGTTGCTATTGACTTTCTGGGGAAGCTGATAGGAAAGATCATAAATGACAATGACATAATCACAGGGCATTGCAACAGATTGTAAAAGTGAATACAAGTGCCCAGATTGCAATTACATGACCATGGATTTTCTAGAATGGCCAGATTTTGGTTCTCTCTTTGTTTCTGGGGTCTAGCTGAAAGAGCTGCCCAGTGAAGGAATTCAGTTCTCCTCTGTATGTAAAAGAGAACTGCAGGATAAGAGCTAAAATGTTCAGGATCTCACTTTCTTAGACAACCTTTTTAGTCAACCCTCAGAGTGGAAACAAAGTCCTATCATCAGGCAGCAACAACTTACAACCTTTCCTGCCAGTTTCTCCATTGACGGGAAAGCCAGCAGAAAAGATTACAAATGATGACCCCAAGACTGCGGGACACTTAGTTCTAATTAGTTCTAAATGAGAACAGGGTGCCAAGTACCGATATTGTAATCTCATGACTGTGGGAATGATGGAGCAATATTTTATGATGGCTGGAAGTTGTTTATTTATGGGCTGTAAAGTATTCTTTACTTTACAGCCCATAAATATTATTTATTCTTTGGCTACCTAGTGAGAAGGAATAGAACTGGAGAAGAGGCTAATCCTGAGAAAGGTTGAGGTCAAAAGAAGAAGGGGATGACAGAGAAGTGGCTGACTGGAGTCACTGAAGCAGTAGGTGTGAGCTTAAATGGACTCCAGAGGATGGTAGAGGACAGGTAGGCCTGGAGGAGCGTTGTCCATGGGGTCGTGATGAATCAGACACAACTTTGCAACTAACAACAAAGTATTCTTTCTGAAGCCATCATTAAATGAATGGTCATAAGCCAAGAGCTACATGTACACATTTTCATGCACTGAAACACAGATAAATTAATAGAAGTTTCACATGGCATTCTTAAAACAAATACAAATCATATGGGTCAAATCCATATTAAAAAGATTAAAATGGGCTTCTGATTAAAAACAAAAGGTAAACTTTGTTAATACTTTAAAAGGAACCTGACTTATTCTCACAATTACTCTACTTTAAATAAAACAAATTTCATTTCAATACATACTTTTTAGATACTATATCTGGTTAATCAAGCACTCAACTTTTTATTACATGTTTATTACAAGTAGTCCTCAGTTAAGAACAAAAATTGTGAAGAAATGTAGTTGTAATGATGTTGCAAAATGTCACATGACCACACTGCTTAGCAACAGCAATTCAGGAAGACCTGTCTGCTGTTGTTAAATGAGGATTACACTGGTTGTAAAGCAAGGGCATCACGTGACCGCAACTTCCTGTTACTTCACCATTGACTGATTGTGGGAAGCTGGCAGGGAAGGTTCCAAGTCATGAACATGTGATTGTGGGACTCTGTGATGGCCAAAATTCCAAAGCTTAGTTTAATTTCTATTTCTTCAGTGCTATCGTAAGTCTGAGTGATCGTTCAATGATTAGTTGTTAAATCAGGACTACCTATATCAGAGAACTAGCATTGCAAAAATAAAGTGCACTTTTTTTATATGTGTGTGTGTATATATTATGCATGTGTGTGTGTATGTCCGTGTGTATACACACACACACACACACACACACACACATACATTCACATGTATACAATACAACACACATACACACACACAAATCATTCTGAATATCTTTAGTGAATGGAAATCAAAATAAATAATAGGTTTTCTCCCACCCCTCTCAATATCGTAGGAGAATGCTATTCCAAACTTTTGAGTTATTAGGAGTAAAGATGATCAATACTGGCTGACCTAAGGTTGCAGGTCTTTACATAACTGGCACCCAGAACTGTTTTTTTTATTCCAAGCAGCAGTGTTTTCTAGCTATTTGCAAGAATAGGTTATTAATCTGGGAAAATTCTCAAAGCAGCCTTGAGAACAAAACTACTTTGAGGAAAGCTGCTTCCTTTGAAAGTTTTGCACAGGTGTATAGTTTTATATTTATATTTTGGATAGTTACATATTATTCAATGTACATATTTATAAAAATGTATATATAAAATACAAGTATAAATATTAATAAATATAATCTCACTATTTAGGTAAAATTGAAAGTTTATTTTAAAAATAATAAAAAGATTAATCAGAAAATATTCTGTAGCAAAGCGGAGGTTAAGCATTCCCAATCACTTAATGTAAAGTTTCCCAGACATTTCTTTAGTCAGTCAGACATATACAGTTGATTATTATGACATACATCTTCTTTCTTATATACAATTTCTTAATTCATGCAGTCAGGCACCTTTATGTATATTATGTTAGCAGAATGAGGTAGATTGGCCTAACACTAGAAAATAGGACTGATTTTATTATGCAAATTTCCATTTTAAACTTTCAGGGCAATGACAGTGTTGTAACATACCTTTCCCTGGACCAGTATATATTTCTTTTGCATACTCCACATCAAAAATGTAACGATAAAAGCATAGCTGGGTGAATAAGGCCTTGTCAGAGTACTGTAATAAAACACAAAAACCGACACACATAAATAAATTATGCTATTGAAAAGCAGGTCAGACTAGAATAACCATACTCACATATAACTTTTATGCTATTTCACTGTTACTTATTAAAGCTAAATGTTTGCTATTAGTTTTTATCAACTGCCTTGGAAAGCAATTCAGCTAAATGTTATGGTATATACTAAATAAATATCTAAAAAATCCTCAACCCTCCTAAAATTAGTGTGGAAACCTGTTGTGTTTATGTAGTATTAATTACAATAAAGGTTTTAATAGACTTGTTTTAAATCATGAAACTATAAAATTGTTATGCAGATATAAAAGAAGCATCTGACTACATAGTCAAGACATGCATTTAACAATGACTTTAGAAATTATACACAGTATCAGGAAAGCAAATTTCAATATAGTTCCATGCTAAAAGTATGTTTAACATATATTATATATATTTATACAATAAATACTTTGGAAATTCATACATTATATATGAAATAACTCTAAGCCTACGATTTTGTGACATTCCAGAGAGCATTTGGAGAATTTTATTCATTGGTTTATCAGAGACCACTTTAACTTAGATATAAAATGAAAATTTCCTATCAAGACTACATCTATCTTAACATTATTCTGTGAGTCAGTGATTTTGCTTGAACTTACAGATTGTAGATAATGATTGGGAAAAATTACTTGGGTTGATAGATTTATCTGTAGAATAAGGCTATTACTCTCACAAACTTTTCATTGGTAGAAACTGAATAGCATGCTTTCTTACTGTTGAAGATAAAGGTATTTTTAAAAGACTTTCTTCAAAATCAGTGCATGCTTTATTTTGTATCTTAGTTTATAAAGTAGAACTGTGCTTCCCAAGAGAACTTCTCACATTATTTGAACTTCTCACAGTATGACATTATTTAATTGAAATGATTTTTCTCTTTCTTTTTTATTTCTTTTATTTTTTAATGCATTTTTGGTTATCAGCTCAATGGGAATAGTTAGTTCATTTTTCTCTTTGAGCTGTAACTAGTTTGGGACTGAAAATGGTATGCAGATAAATATGCCTTAAATGAATTGGTTACAGGAGTAATTATTGGTTACACAATAATTATTCTTCAATTAAGCATCCCTCACACAGCAAATATTGCTATGTGGAATTAATTTATATTTTTATAAGAATCAAGACTTCCAATATACTTGATTGTACTGCTGGGAAAAAGGATTATGCAAAAAACAAATTTACTGTGATTGTTCCTTTGTTAACATCCATATGGCAGTCAGGAAGAAATATAGTTACAAATATACTTTTCACTTATCTGACTACAGGGAAACAGATTCATTTTTTTCTAATAGATTAAAAGTCTTTAGGAACTCAAGTACTTACATCCTCAAGGAACTTAGAAAGCAAGATCAAAAATTAAATATGTGATATGAAGCTTTATAGTAAAAAAACAGTAAATAAAAGAAAATAAAAGCAACAGTTACACATGGCTATTTTTACTTCTTTTGTCAAATTCCGTCCTCACAAAAGACAAAATTACCTACTAGCTTGCTACTCACATTTGCACATCTTAACATGTCTTCATATTTTTTTCAGATATGTAGTGGACTGTCTATCAAAATGCACAAATTAATTTACTTATTCAGTATATTATATGTACAATGTACAATTGTTTACTTCACTTTTCGTGTCAAACATAGCTACCTTACTTTCTTACATTAATAAAATTGTATTCTTTGTTGCATTAGATCAGCTGTCTAAACTTGTTGAAGTTAACAACATTTTCAATCAACATGACAGTATAAAAAGTAGTGTGTATTCATTCATGTCACCAACCAACACAGCTCTAATGTTACTACAAGTATTCTTCATATAGCTTATTATTATATTTATATTCTGCCTTTATTTTGGAAGCATACATAATGCTTTAACTTCTTATTTGCTTGCAACAGCAACCTTATAAATTAAGTTGGACTGAAAGTGACTGGCCCCAACGGGCTTTCATGTTTAAGAAAGAACTAGAACCCATATCTATGAAGATTCTCAATCATCCAGGACATGATTGTCCAAAAGTGCTTTTGCAAAAAGGCAACTGGATTTTCTAGTGGTTATTTTTTCTCTTTGAAAATATCTTGCTTTCAGCCAAGACGCTTCTTCAGTTCTGAAGAATTGACATTTGTACTTCTATAGCTGTCTGATTCGTCCCTCCAAAGTTCCATTTTGGCCGGCAATCTGTTCGGCGAGGCCTGTGGAGGCCCGAAGGGAACAATAGTATGTGGCTCAGAGTCTGGAGAGGAGACTGCTTGCTAGACTTTCACAAGGTAAGTGAAGGGGGGGGAAGCAATTGTGGGGAGGATGAGGTATTTCAGAAGGTTGGGTAGGACTTGGGTGGTCTTAGGCAGGTGACCTGTTCTATCAGTAGGACCCCCATGGCATTTCCCACCCTGAAATATATCATGTGCACTTAACAAGCCTTGCATTCAATTAGCAAATGTGTGGGTGAAAGGAGGGAGTGATTCACTCCCACAAAACCTTGGGTTATGAATGGAATGGGCAAGCTCCATTACATTCGTAACTTGAGGACTACCTGTATTGCCAGACTACCTGTCATTGAGCACGTGTTAACTCCACGGGTCAGAAAGAGGGCTGAGAAAATATCTACAGACCCCTCACATCCTGTACATAAACTGTTTCAATCCCTCCCTTCAAAGAATTGTTGCTACAAGGCATTGCATGCCAAAACAACTAGACACAAAGACAGTTTTTTCCCTTGTGCCATCACTCTGCTGAACACTAATTTTCACAATACTGTCTTATGTCTCTAAGTATATTTATCCATGTAGTATGGCTCAGAGGTCGGTTCCTACCAGTTCACACCTATTCGGTAGAACCGGTTTGTCAAATCTACCGAACCAGTTAGAAGAGGTTCCACCAGTGGACCCGGAAAGCAGGCCACACCTACAGAAGAGGTTCCAAAAATTTTTGAAACCCACCATTGGTCCTTCGATATGATTATTCTACACTATCATGCTCATATTTATAAAACTCAGTGCCTCTGTGAAAGGTAAGGATGATTACTGCGTTTGTGGTGCAATCAGAACATTGCGTGTGTTGAAGTTGTTTTAACGCAAACCAAAGATGCCTTTTAAAAAACAAGTTTACATCATATTCTTATGCATGCCAGTGCTGTGTGTGAGGTAATTTAAGGTGGTTCTGACAAGTGTCGTCGGCATCTTCATATCCGGTCACATGGGCGGCAAGCCGCTCCCATCCAGTCACATGGGTGGCAAGCCACTCCCACAAAGGAGGCCACACCCACAGAGTAGGTTCGAACAATTTTTGAAACCCACCACTGATATGGCTGTATTACTTTTATTCTCATCTGTTCCACTATCTTCTCTTATTGATATCATTATTATGATTATTATTACTTTGTTGTTTTGCACTGAAAGTTACTTGGCCAATAGCATATTCTCTTCTCTTCTCTCCTTGTTTTGTCCTGTCCTATTCTACTCCATTCTCTTTCATTATTGTTTATATTTATACTTATTTATTTTGTTTTTATTGTTTCAATTTTTTATAATTTGAGAATGACAAGCCATCCAGAGCTACTTGATTAAGTTGGGCAACTTTAGAAATTGAATAAACAAACAAACAAAATTATATGTTCATGTAATCATAAATAAAATATTATAATATCTTTATATAGCACTGCTACTGGTATATTCTATTCTATTCTATTCACTTAGCCTTATATAAAACTTTACAGTGCTTTACATCTCTCTCTAAGTGGTTTACAGAGTCAGCATATTGCCTCCAACAATATGGGTCCTCATTTTACTGAAGGACGGAAGGCTGAGTCAACCTTGAGCCAGTGAGACTTGAATTGCCGAACTGCTGGCAGCTGTCAGTCAGCAGAATTACACTGCAATACTACATTCTAACCACTGTGCCACCATGGCTCTAATATTAATGTATGATGCAACCACTTTTAAAAACAATTCACAATTCTGCACCTAAACATGATTCTGAAGATCTACAAAAATATGCAGTAATAGAGGGCAATAAAAAATATAGAACAATTTTCTCCCCAAAAAGAATACAGTACTTGTGTCTGTTGAGCTTAGGAAAAAAGAAAATAGGATTAAATTACTGGCAAAGTAATGTATAAAGCATGCACAGAAGGACCAAAGTGGGACTAAGCTTTTTTCCCTTCCTTCAAACAGTATGATCCACAACAGTGGTTCTCAATCTGTGGCTTGCGGACCACTGGGGGACCATGATGTCATCACAGGGGTCCATGAAGTCTTGAAGAAATGTTTATGATTTAAAGAAAAAAATGTTATGCTTTTGTGGCTATGGTCCGTGGCCACAAAAGGTATTTAAAGGGGGTCCACGGTGAAGAAAAGGTTGAGAACCACTGATCTACAAGTATCCAGTAAGACGGATTGATCAGAAATTCTTGATGGACAAAATCAGGACAGCTTCAGTATTTAAAACAATATTGAAGCCCTACTAAAAATAACAAGTAACTAGGGCATCATGTTAATTTTTTTAGCATTCTGTCAACAGCTAATTCAGCCAGCTTATCCAAAGTAAGACTGGACATTAATTGATGGAGTACCATCTTGCATGATTTCAGGAGTGATCTTGTATCATTTGTGGCTCAATGACCAATTCCCGGTCTCCTTATAAAATGGGATTACAATGAAATAGAATCCAGAAAGATAATGTAGGAAATTACTTATGCCATTAACTTGTGTTAGCAATAGAGCCTATAATAAAATACTGCAATAGTGAGTGCTCCTCATTAGTCAAACCAGCCAATTAGCCATAAAAGTAAAGGAACAATGGAAGATATAAAAAGCTTAGTGAGAACAATAAATGCAAGATTTTGAATAGCTTTTCAATTAAAATGACATTTAAACATGGGAGAGGAAATACTTGGTTACCTGGCTAAATCAATAGCTAGTATTCTGAAATGGATATGATTTGAACC